GGAAAACCTCCATTACCCTTTTCTTCTCATTTTAACCAAACACAGATAGAAGATGACACTTTTTTTGGTTTGTTTTAAGGTGGACTACTGAAAATGAATCCGTGTATGTGGATGATCAGGCAATGGGGAGGTTTCAGTTCCCCCCTTTTTGTTCCTGTGTCACCATTAGAGAAATATTTCTAATCTAAATGCTAAGGAAGATATTGTGGCTTCTTTCACAGTGTGTAAACATTGGGACATCTTTTTTTGTATCATTTTAGAACTTATTTTTCCAATTATGTTCCAGCCTAAAACGGATCAGACTTCACATGTACACATTAACAAAGGTGTAAAGCTGGCTTCCTTCTCTTTTGTGCCTTTAAACTTGCGTGTACTTTGTTAATCTCTTTAAATGTAATTTTGGGGTGTATTTGAAAATGTATGAGTAATATACTTTGTGGGCTTATATAACTGGTTGTAAAGGAGTAAATGCATTCACATTTAATTAGGAAGGAAATAGTTGTCTTACAAGTGCATCTATTGAATGCTTGGATTTTTCTGCCTTTTTTTCTTCTTTTTTTAAATTCCACTGTTTATTTTTCTATCTATTGATTGAAATGTCCTCATTTGCTTCAGTGTTGAAGGCTTTTAGATATATATATATATATATGTGTGTGTGTGTGTACATATGTTTTTTTCCAGCAGGACTTTTCCTCCTGTAGATGTATAAGAAATTATGCATCAGACAAAAGCCTCATAAACTGACCATTTGTCCTTTGGACACAATAGCCTGCCCAGCCCCTCTGCTCCTCCTCTCCAATTATGTGTGATTAGTCTCAGTGTGTTGTGTCAAGAAGGGGGAGTGTGCTGAGTGCTTATTATCTGTTTAGGTACAAGAAGAGCACATTTAGGTTCTGACTATGAATGGAAAGTGAGCCTTTATCAGGACTAAAATCTAAATGCTACTATCCTAGAAACCGCTTTAAAAAAAAAAAAACATCCTTTTCTGATAAATTCCGAGAAACACTGTAACAACTAAAGGATTTATAGTGTAATTGAACTCTCTCCCTTGAATTAGTTTATATTGTGATATATTGTGGCTCAAGTATTTGGTAAACATTTAATGTGACTGTTAAGTAAATAAGAAATTGCTCCTGTTTCTTGGTAGGATTTTTGTCCTTCCCAGTAGAAGAAAAGTCACATTAAATGTGTGTAGACCATTTTAATGACTTCTCAGAAAAACAGCCTGGATCATCAAAGAATCCTGTACAGGCTCTTAAACCACAACACTTTTAAAATGATGAAAAAAGAGAGAGAGGCAGAGACCATGACTGAGAGGGGGAGGTACTAGATGCAAGGAAGTGTAGAGGATCATGTTGAAATATGTTAATTAGAAGAACTGCAGTTCGGCAAAGAAGTGTTCTTCCATATTTAACAAATTGGGCAGCATGTAAACCACGAGCTTATGAAAGTCCCTTTCTCTTTGCTCTTCTTCTCAAACAAATTTCTTCACTACCGGTTTGCATGTCCTTGTATTCAATACTTTTTATGCTCCATTAGAGCACCTAGATGGATCTCAGAAGGCATAGGTCAAGTCGCAGTTAGATCATACATTTCTTTCTCACAAAAACTTGAATTGCAATGCCAAGTGATGGGCTAACATCACAATAACAGCAATTTATTCCTCTTTTGATAAAAAAGCAGCCTATTCTCAGTGTTAGATAAAGACCAGGGGCAATGCAAACCAACCATTTATCCTAGAACTGAGTAGTATGTCTCCCCTATAGCTGATATGAGTTTCATATTCAAACTCTTGTTGGAAGACGCTTGTCTAGTAGGAAATTAAAAGCATTTATGAGGAATTTAAAATTGCTGTGAAGGTGGCTTTAGTTTAATTAGTTTTGTTTTGTTTGTCCCACAAAGCAGTGCCTTTGTTTTCTCCAAAAACACGTACAAGAAAATCTTTATAATCAACAAAGGAGTGTGAAAAATAGTGAAATATTAAAATTTGTGAACGTCTTATTTTTAAGAGGGCTTGAATGTCTGCTGTACAATAATCTAATAAAGGTTGTTAGTTGCCAAAAATAGAACCAGTGTCACTGAAAATTGTGGTTTTGTCTCTAAGAAGAAAACAGTTTTACTCAAATTAGTAGCTGATAATTGCTTTTTATTTCTTTAGTGTCTGTCGCTTGAGTTGAAGGCTTTGCACAGGTGCTGCCATCCCTAAAGTGTGTAATTGACGGCTTGTTTACCAAAGACGCATTTAGGCTTCATCCTGCAAACTCACATTGGAGCTCCACAGGCAGTAAAGTTACTCATCTACATAAGTGCTTGCAGGTTTGGTCCGTGTAGATATTTTCAGAGGTATATAAGCAAGCTCTCTTCTTGATTATTTTTGTTTGTTTGTTTTAAAATGGGTATTGAAAAGTCACAAGTGTAGGATTTACTGTATATGAGGCACTGAAAGTGATCTTTTTTAGAGCCATCTCTCAAAGTCCCTCATGTTAGTAGGGACTTGATTAATTGTTTCTGAGCTCTTAAATTTTAATAAAGATACAGTGTTTATTAATACATCAAATACTTTTGCTCAGAACAAGTTAGGTTATCAAATCATGCTTATAAAATTTATCAGAGCCTTTCATGTGATGTTCTTTAACTAGTCTCTGATACTTGCTATATTTTTAATGATAATAATTTACTGTCTTCCGTAACAGAATATTGAGCTTAATTACTTTGTGTTTGCAAAGCACTTTGAAGATGAATGACACTGTGCAAGAGCTATGTTGTCTTCACCAAGAATGGAAGTGTTAGGCTGATGGAAGATTTCCTGCAGGTATGTTGGTAGTTTTTAGAGCAACGTTGTGTCTTCCTCTCTTCTCGGGGAAAAATGGCAGAAAGGAGTGATCTTCTTGTGGACATCCATTCCCCTGATGCAGCTGCTGCCACTAGCAGTGACTTGTGATCTTCAGAATACAAAAGACCAAGAAAAAAATACTCCCTTTCCTGCTGTGAGATCTGGCAAAGACTTTCTTAAAAATTACAAACTAGTCCTCTCTGATAGCATTCTGGAAAAATGGGACAAATCTTTCCGTTTGGGAAGTAAGTTTGATTTGAAATGAAAAATGTCTTAAGAATGTGAGATGAGGCAGGAGAACTTACTACCCCAGGTACCAGTCCAGCTGCAAAATCCTTATTAGACAAGTCATTCACATTTTGCCTGGGGCTCCATGGCTACATGTTTGTGTGAGGAGGGAAGTGGGATTGAAATCGTTCCCCCCATGAAAAGCATCCTTATGTCTTGAGCCTGGCTGCATATGGTTTATCAAGTGTTATATCTCTGTTACAACTCTCCTTCGCTGTTCCCTGAACAAAAGAGGATGCAGTGGGTGGAGCTTTTGATCCACCTCTTGATATGGCAGGTGACACAGCTGATGTGGCAGGGGGAAGAGGGAAAAGGCAGCGACACATTGCAAGTCAAACAGAGCAGCGTTTTATTACTGTCTTTCACCTGCTCTCCCTAATGCAAGAGGGGAAGTAACCGGGTCCCTGTCTTTTCATAGGGCAAATTATAAATGCATAGTTTTGCCTGGATTTCTTTATGCGTGGTTTTCTTACTAAATTCAGAGAATATACAGTGATGAAAAACTCCACATTCCTTTGAGAGGCAAGTGGAAAGTGCTAGGGCAATGTGCACTGGCAGTTATATCTAAAATGTTTTCTTCGCAGTGTAGTCATCCTGTCTTGTTTCCTCAGAAAGAGACAATTTTGTTCCTTTATATCTATTTATTCACTTTTTAGATTCTTCTGAGTCTGATTAAGTTGGTTTGTCATGCCTTCGCTGTCACAGATCAGTAGCCTAACATTGGTGGTAAGAACACCAGCAGCTTTCAAAAGATGACTCGAAAAGCTGATTTTCAATATTAGTCTCATCTGCACTGCAACAGCCCTTATTTTACCCAGCCAAAATGAGGGCACCCTGATGCAAAACCCCATAAAGCTAAAAGAAAGCCAATGCATGACTCGGTGAATTTGCAGCTGAATGTTTAAATGAAGGGAGGACCCCCCCAAATCATGCCCGTTCCCCATAGGAGGGAACCTGAGGCACAGAGAGAATTGCTTTCTCGCTTGCCGACAGCCATTTAGAAAGCAGCCGACGTGCTCCAGAACCCATCCCAGATTTTGCGAGACGAAGCGCAGCGTCTCCTTGGTAGGATCTGTCTCCCTCTCCCACCTGTGGACTCTGTTCAAACAGCTGAATGTACCAAACCCAACTTTTCTTTCCCGTTTTTAGAGAGTTTAGCCTATTAAGGCTCCTTGCTTAGTCAGCAGCTGGCTTGCTGCCAAAAAGCCCAGCATATTGTTGTGGCTGGGTAAAAGCTGGATATTTTCCATCTCTGTCCAACAGCGGCATTGGATCTTCCATTGTCTTCTTGTGTGCAAATTGTGTGGAAAGTAGAGGGAAGATGCACGGAGCAGTAGTCCAGATGGCATTCCACAGCCTGAGAAGAAACATCTTGACCCTCGAATCTGGGTTAAACTCAACAGATGCCAAGCCCCCAAAAACAAAGAGCTGTCGTGGCTGACGACAGCGAAGGAGCGATAGGCCTTCAGCAACAGAAACTATCTTTTATTTTGGATGCATTTCCCTGCAGAGAGCCAACGCGGTGTCACTTGTAGAAGATTGCTTATTAAAAACAAGCAAAAAAAAAGAAAAAAAAAGGCTCTCTGCATTAGGCACCTTCCCCCTTCAGTCGTGAAACGTTGCCCCTGGGTGATGGGTTACGCCAGCAGAAAAGGATTTGAACGTTCAGCCGGCGTTGTGCCCTGCCAGAGCCTGCGTGCTAAAAGACCTGTTATTTTTTCCTGACTCTGACTTCAATTAACGTACTTTTAAAATGATTAAACATATCATGCTGTGACTTCTAAAATGTCAACAAGCTTCTAAACTTGGGAGACAGGAATGTAATAAAATAGGTAATAGGAGATTCAATAGTTAATAGAAGCCCTGAAGTGTGAGTGTA